TATTTCAGGACGCCAAAAGTTTATTTTGGGCCAGGCAGCTCCCAGTTATAGCTTTGCTTTGAAACGGTACTGAACGGAATCTATACAGGAATACAGTAGAGACATGAGAAAAGGATATCACTGTACTCAACTCACTTCCCTTTCGCCATAACGTGCCCTCTTCCGAACACGGCTTCTGGAGTTTCATTTGAGCGCTAACCCAACGAAAATTTCATTTTGCAAACGAGCAACTAAAAATATTCGAGACGTTGGCACGCCTGTACTTGCATGCTTTGTTTAACAAGGCAGATTTCTCAGCGCAGAAAGTTTCGCAGACGTCTGGAGCAGGTAATTGCATATGAGGGTGCAAATGCGGACACTAGTAACATTGTTACCATACCCAGCCAAGGGCAGGACTCGCAGTGCATCAGCTTTGTGACGGTTCTGCCAAGGTACTGCCACGGAGAAAAGGGACCCTAGATGAAAGGCGGCGGCTGCTAGAAATCAAAGGACAGGGGTTGCAGGGCCGGGGATGGTCATCAAAATAAGGAAAGGACGCTGTTCGGCTCAGGGGGGATGTTGCTGCTGGTTCCGCAAATGAGACCTGTAGACCCTCGTCAAGTGGCGCTTCTATTATTGCAGAACATTGCAGGAATTCACCGGTATCCACATGTCATCGGCAGTGATTGCTGGGAATCAGCAAATGCCCCCACCGAGCCGATCTACTCCAGAGGTGCGGTGCACTGGATACATGGTGGAGCGGGGCTAGATTCCTTTGAAAGGGACAGCTCCGGGAAATGTGAGCCTCATGCTCTGCTAAGAATGTGCTAGGTTCCAGTTGTTACAGAACGCTAGATAAAGCGCGTGACGGAAGCACTTATTAATGGAGTTTAGGGAGGGAGTTCAAGCACTAATGTTGCATTACTAGTATTTCTACTCTTGAACGAAAGGAACGAAACTGCTTGCGCGTACATTGCACGTTCACTGGTAGACATTCTGTCCTTCGGTAATTCTTGAGAAGATTAATATTTATGAAAAACTCAACAGTATTTCCGTAATTTATCAAAAGTTATTAGAATGTTGCACCTGGCAATGTAATAAATGTAAATGACGGAATGACGTGGAAGTTCTATAGAAAGGGAATGATAGAAAAACAATTCAAGGGTTCCAAGAAAATTTGGCGATAAAACATGCATTAAACACAAATAATCACAGCACCGGTACAAGTAAGAATTCAAGAATTTAGAATGAAATTTGAAGGAAGTCGGCCTTCGAGGATATCAGAGGCTGTCGTGGACGTAGCGACAATGAAGGGTACCTAAACAGTGTGATACTCAAATGAGAAGAAAGTAAAATTCGTGGCACCAACCTAGTTTGGTGCCGAAATGGGCGGTGCTAATGCATTGGTTTGGCCCCTGGGTCAAGCGTATGTCGCGGAATTCGCAACGTAGGGGTGATATGTGACTATCGGTAGGGAGGAGGTGGTCGTGGTTTTAGGTTTCATGTACAGAACAGTAGCAACGTCAGCGGAAGATTGCCTACGCTTTTGTGCGTCGCCTCGTAGCGCAGTATGTTCGAGTTGGAAATTCATGGCAAATTCAGGGTGAATAAAACTACAACATAGCAGAAGTTATATTCGCGTACATCCGGCAGATAACCCAGCAGCTGACAGTAAATGTGATTGGAATGGAAGACCATCAACTTGGAAGCTGCGTTGCGCGTTGCCTGCATCTCCCAAGCCAACTCGTGTAGCGATGGCGCGACTGGCAACTAACGCTCCACGCCTGGTAGTAGCTATTAATCATGTGTGCAGCTACTAAACAGCATTGAACGCCGCGGCGTTTTTGCGGCGACACTTCCGTTTAGAATTCGCTGCGTCTCCGCGCGCGTGCCGTGATTGAATTGGCAATACTCCGAATGACAAGCGAAAACGGGAGTCTTTGTGCCGCATACCCCTTTACACGCTCATTCTGGTCACTTTTGCGCTCATTTCTACATTGTTCAGTATGAATAATGACTTCTTTTTGCTGCATAGATGGATCTGGACAACGTAGAAGATTTAAACGTCAGTTTTTACGACATAAGTATTGGGTTGGCCCACAAGTAATTGAGTTTTTTTGGTCACACAATTTTTTATATGAAAAACGACAATTGTTCCCAATATGTTCTACAATGTTCGATAGATAATTTCCTGTGCTCTATATCTATAGGTGTGGTGGTGCTGCAATTACTATTTCATGGTTTCCGTTGATTTGTATTTCATTAAATGGAAAATTCGGGTGCGTGGGGGGGCATCTTGCTTGCGGAACCCATCCACTAGGTCTTGAACTTCTTCACTCGAACGGAGGTGATGCTTGATAATGACAAGGAAGTATTCTAAGACCTTTAACATATTCCTCTACCCTTGGCATGATTCTCAGCTAAGCACCAGGTGACTTCCGTACGCTTTCAGTCTGACAGAAAGGGCATCGACTGCTTGTCTTGGGTCGAAACCGTGCGAAATCTTCGAATCACTTGAAAGTTTTACTAATGTTCCGCTACAAGACGTGGGCCTTTTTAGCCATATATCTTACGCAGCTGGATCCATCGGCGTTTTTTAGCTTTTTAATTAGGGGCATAATAATGAGGGGCTGTCGAAATGCTTTCAATTTTTGTTAACCTGACAAACTTCATTTTTTTATGCACTGAAAATACTAATGGAAAAAAGAAGGACTTTGAAGAACTACTAGGAATACTATTCTGTAGGGTAGGAGCTGCTCTCTGCCAAGTGGTATAAAACCCAGTGGAGAAACTCTTCTTCTTCAGCGCGATATTTTGAGTGAGAAAAAACGCCATTACTTATGGGGCGACCCAGTATTATTATCATAACGACTTAAACACTATCAAATGTATTGTAAATTAACATTTGTAATTATCACTAGAAGTCTTACTACCATTGCAGTGATGCGGAGCAATCATAAGAAGTGCAATTACTTAATGTTATTTTGTAATGTTAATGAATTACCCCAATGAGCAGCTTATTTCACGGGGGCGCCATACTAAGGGCCTATGAGTAAAGCTCGTTGAACATATACTCGGTGAGAATGGTTCAATTCGCACTATTATCCACGAAAAAACCGACCAACAAAACGTGAATTGTGGGCAATATACAAACGCGAGAAACGGGAGTATGCGCGTGTATTGATATCAATTCACGCGGCGTTCAATGTGTTAATCATGTGTGCCAACCGCAACGTTCGGAAAAGGCAAGCGTGATGATCCGGTTAATTGTGCAGAAGATTTATTTTGACAAGTGATCATATCCAAATTGAAAAATGTACCTGACACATTAGGAGTGAACTCGAACGGACTCGGAGATTCTCCTAACTTCCATCTGAAAACCGGTTCACCATCCATTCCAGAACCTTCCTCAGAGGATCCTTCGGCGGTATTGCTCACGATTGACCCTCCAGAAAGGGTCTCTGCTGATCCCTCAGCCGAACCCTCAGCGGAACTTTGAGCAGCTTCTTCAGCAGAGCTCTCTATCGTCTCACCGCTGGAAGTCTCATCTGAATTTCAGGAAATATTAGCATTAGAGCTAAACTTTCTTGAATAAGGATGTCATGTGAACCTTCAGAATGAGATGATCTCCACATATCTTCGTGTTCTTCATGAGTGACATCAATTTTCATGGGGGTCTCACCTAAAAATTCTGAATTACTACGCCGCGATTTCTCCTTTCGAGGAGAAAGTTCTCACAAAAATCCAGAAGCCGATGAGCCAGCAAGAACAATTCAATCTCGTTCAGATCTTGGGGCGTTGCGAACCGCATATCAAATAATCCGTCAGTAATCAAGACAGCGATTCACAAAAGAATCATACACTAACTCTGAACTGCTTTCGGCTCTTCTGTCTCGGAAAGATGGACTTATAACCCAAGTAGTCGATATAAAGGTGTCAAACTACATGGGACGCATTAGTGGATGAATAAATACAAGAAATAGTGGCACGATGTTTGTCGACGAGGGGGCATTTTGCTTTCCATAGATGTGTCGACCCATCTAGGCAGCCGTTTCTCGAGTTGACACGTTTTAGGATAGTGGCTAGACGATCTTACTTCAGCTTCACAAGAGTTCACAAGTTTTACCAGAGTGAGATTTGTAAACCGGAACTAGGGAAGCAATGATAATACAAAATGCCCCCCCCCCCGTCGACAAACAGCGCCGAATAGTGTGTGGTTTGTCATACATAATCTAATCCGCCTCGCCTACTCTACTGCGAATTTGAAGATATGTTCCGCACTTCGAAGGGAAATGTGTGTAATGGGATCCCATAAACCATTTCCCTTTTTCATAGTGCTAGTTGACTCACCTGTAAAAAACGGACAGAAAGAATCGTCAGAAAAAGAACGCCCTCAATGAGGTTCGCCTCTCTTTGGTTGACTTTCAGTATTCACCGTGTATCCGAAAGAATGAGACACTGCGTGAACGGGCCTATGCCAGACTCGCCTGCGAGTCACAGCTCAGAGACCAACATCGGTTTGCCCCCAACGTCTCCACCGCGTATTTTATTTCTTTCGCAATCCGGATTTTAATGAGGCTTGCGAAATAAATAAAATACGCTCGCACTACTTCACAAAGAAAGCGAAGCTTCTTACAGAATTCGCTATAGAGGAGAAGAATCGTATGAACTTCAGTAGGAGTGCTTACCTTCACCTGGCTCCATACCACTCTGATCCACGAACGTCTCGTTGGCATAAAGTTGGTTTACTGCAAATGAAAGCTGTAAGCACAGTCCACGCCGGTGGCATGGGGCGGAGTCAACCCTGCACTTGCCAGTCTTCCACTCACCATCTTACAAGGACGGCACATCCAGGAGAGAAAGCTAGAGTGGGCGTGACTCCGCCCACACGATCAGCGTGGACTGGATCTCTGAGCTTTGTTTTCGAGATTATCCAGTACCAACAAGAAATCATTCCAGTGAAGGAGTACTGAGCAGAGGTAACTTGTCCGTCAAAGGACCGAGCAGGAGTAGACCAGAGCGTTTCCAATTTTTAAGCTACCGATGCTTTTTGCTTTGGTAGAATATGTCGTTAAGTTGGTTTGCAAGTCGAGGTAAGGAGAGCCAACTGTAAGCTTCCCCGGGTGAAAAGGCATACCTAGCAACTCCGATAATCTAGCAGTAAGATCATCTCGTCCCATTATCGTCAGCATCTATTTAAAGACAGTCTCTGCGCTCGAGAAATTCGTAGGCGTGCTTCCTTGTAACGTAGTCTGGTCCTTAGTTTCCGAAAGTGTCCCTCTTTCGTGGCTTCACAGGAAGCAACGAAGGCGCTGCGGCCCTCATAGGTAACAGTTCTGACACCCCCCTACTTGCCTCGCCCCGGAACTCAAAGGCTTTTGCTGTCCGAGTTCACGTTTCACACCGCCTTTTTCTTTTTTTTCCACTCTTAGAACGATATAAGCATTGGGTGACGCGCAGGAAAGATCATTAAGCTAGAGGTGGCACAATATCGCTTTTCCGGCATAAAACGAGCAGGTCCGGATAACTAGTAACTGGGAAATCATTTAGCGACAATAGATTCGTTATTGGACGCCACTATCCATAATGTGCGATTGCGGGGTTTGTCTTCAAGACCAACAGGCTATCCGCAAGGACGCGCTCAGGACCGCTAAAATATAGTAAGGTAAGTATAGGGAAGTATCTTGTGTTTTTGGAAATTCGCGGGGCTCAATTCACGGTCCGGTTGGATTTCCATCACAATAGAAACATGA